ATATATAGTATATATAGTGATGGCTATCGTCGGTGGCTCTCTCGATGTGTTGTAACGCTGCTGCACGCGAAAGCGCGAACAAGTTTATTTTTTTTTTCTTTTTCTTTTTTCTATATTCGTGTTGTGCTTCTCGATCGATGGCTTAAGTGTATAATCGAACTATACGCTCACCGACCTGCGATACTTCATCCCTCTCGCGAACGATCCCTCATTCTAGAGTATTTTATGTAGACCATGATTGTTACGTGATGCTTGTATTAAGACGTGAAAGTAGATGAATTAAGAAGAATGTCTTTTCTCTTTCTGTTGTCGAATCGCAGATTTTCCGTTTATGATTTTCGACACGATCTTTACGAAATAATAAAAAAGGAAAAAAAATTTTGTACGAAAATTTTCCTCGGAGAAAAGAGAGGATATATAGATTCTCGGAAAATTAAATTCCTTTCGTTATCATAAAGACTACTGAAAGTTGTCAATCACTTCATGACTCGAAGGTTATCGATATCTTATCGCACGTGTCGTATTTACAGATTGCATATCTAGAAAACAAAGCCTTTCCTTAAAACACCTTTTCTATAAAATTGATATACCATCGGTACGATTAATCGAGAGTATTTTCTCCGTAAATCGTGCCGCTTTTATTTTAGACGAAAACTCGATAGGGAGGGATATTGTGTACAAAAGTGAATCTCGGTACGAGACGACCTCGTTTAATATTAAGTGGACGGCATGAATATGAGGGCTCTGCCTTGACGTGTGGATCGATAACTAGGTTTCCGTACATTAAGCGTCGCAAACCGCCTTGTTTAGAATCGCATTCGCGTTCGAAACGGGAGAAAACCAAGGGATAAACCATATAATACATCTCACATTATTATCGAAATCCATTAGTAATATTAATCCGTGTCTTTTCTATTATATATGATGAGATTGATAATATCTACCATTCTTGATAGGACCGAGGGTCGCGGGCTATCGCGGAAACACATTATCGAGTCCGTGCAAGCTTCGCTCGTCAGGCTGCAACTGTCGTACATCGACATTGTCATGATCCACAAAGTCGATCCAATGTGTCCGATGGAAGGTAACTTTCCACCTTCTTAATATTCTCTTGCCAGTAATACTCAAAGATTCGAATCCTTCCTCGTCCATTCCTTCGTTCAAACACTCGCGGCACAAAACTCACTGCACAAAGTGTCGTACTTTATGAGATATACTGTAATAAACTTTGATATATTTGAAGACTTTTCTGTCTCAACGTAACATTTAATTTGAATAGGGAAGAAACATTGTTGCTATTTATATTATAGAGAAGCAAAGAGAGAAAATTATCTGATATCGCGTAAAAGTTAACATTATAGATATATTAAAGAGAAAAGATTGAATAATATCGCGTATGATATCAAAAAATATTGCTCTTGTGTCTTTATTTAGACTTATTACATTTTTATTATTTTTAACGATTTGTTTCAATATCTTTTCAAAAGATAATCTAAAGAAAAATTAATGCATTTATAATCGATTACTGTTATACATAATTGATGATTTATAATATTATTAATATTATTGATATTTCGTTAATTTAAATGTAAAGACCTGAAAACATTTGGTTCCTCATCAATATATTTTGATAATAATCTGCTTAAAGGCAGTTCTCTCCATAAAGAAATCATTTCGTAATAAATTCCGCTTTTCATGGATAAAGGTAAAATGATTTCTCGTCAAAGTTAACTGCAAGCTGAAAATAAAGTTGAAATCTTCAAGCTTTAAAAAGAGATCGTTAATTTACTATAATAAATTGATTTGAAAATTCTAAATATTTTTTCATATTTATAAAACACGAGTCCGTTGGATAGTGTTATGCAATGCAATTACTACAAAATAAAAAAAAAAAAATGACTATAATTAATAAAAATCTGATAAAATTTTTTCAATTCCCATATATTGCATAACGCAATTCAATTTCACAGAAAACATGAGAAAATCTTTTCAGTCCATATATACAAGAAACTTGAAAAGGATTAAATAAAGTTATACGAGGAAAAAGATCTCCGTTATACTGACGATTTGATGTTTGGCAGTTGCACTTTGCCGTAATAGTTACCGTATGCTTTTTCTATACTCAGTACTCTTCTAGTGAAAATGGAAAGTTATTGTCGTAAAAGTGTATATGTACCTCGTATGTATTTATATTTTCTTTTTATCGATATGTGTATAAATTTCCTCCTGTGTTTATGTATCGCGTTAATGTATGATGCTTCAATATCGTGCGAACAAAAATGTATGCAAGTGAAAACTATTCTGGCTACTATTTTACCTTTATCCCCCCACACGCTTTAAAACACATTTCTCTGCTTTCTCTCTCTTTCCGATAGATATATATATACATATTTTATTTCTCTCTCACACGGTAGAAGAAAAATATTCTTGTTTAAACAAAAAGAGATAGAGATTTACGTATTGATTTTGCATTCGGTTCACACCGATCATTCCGACAATTTTTCCACGCGACGAAGAAACCCCTCCTCGTCTCGTCTCTTGTATCTCACGTATTCGCGTGATCTCATTTCAGAGATCGTTCGCGCTATGAATTACGTTATAAGCAAGGGTTGGGTAATGTACTGGGGTACGTCGCGATGGACATCCGTGGAGATTATGGAAGCTTACACCAACTGTCGGCAGTTCAATTGTGTGACGCCGATCGTCGAGCAAGCGGAATACCATCTGTTTCACAGAGAGAAACCTGAGCTCTATATGCCAGAATTATATAACAAAATTGGTAATTCATTCAAAATAATTGGTTAAAATTGGTGATATCACGAGCGAAGAGATTTTTTTTTTTCACAATCCATCTTCTCTCGACGACTTCTTCGACGAAGTAAACACTCATTTTTTACAGGCGTTGGTTTAATGGCATGGTCCACCGTCACCATTGGAATGGTCTCTTCAAAGCCGGAAGATTGTGGAGTATCGTTCCTCTCGAGATCCTCTTATAAAGTAAGTATGTATATATATATACTTTGTAGAAAATAATCCGATAAAAACGTCTCTCAAGAGTCTCGCACAATTGTCGCTCAGAGAGTGAATACTAGGTGCATTGTTACTCTTGATATTCGGAGTATCTTTTTTCCCGATATATAAGCCGTTGAAAATGACGGATTGTTATTTCTCGTGTATATAGAGATGCGTATCGCAACTATAAATAATCTTTATGATTTCAGAACAAATACTCTTCGTTTAGTTGGACGGAGGATGAAACTCAATCTTTGTACAAGGAGGTATGATTTCTCGTCGCAAATAATATATTTATAGAAATAATGTGCACCATATATGCGTGTTAAATAATCGAAAACATAATAGTAAAAGCACCATCTTTCGCTCGTGTTTATTTTGAAGCTTACATATTTACCGAGATCAATGATATCACAAAAAGCTAAATTAGAGATAACGTACAATTTTATTATCCCATTAAATAAATATTCAAGATACATAATTCTAAAAAAAATGTATACATATATCTAATGATACGGAGTACGAGATATTATTTACGACTCGTTCTTCAATTAATTTCGTAATTTGACGCAGGAGTACGCGTGGAAAGATAAATCCGCCGACGATGAGACTCGGAAATATTCGGATAAATTGCGGGACGTGTGCGCTTTGGCCGAGAGACTGGGATGTTCTTTCGGACAATTGGCCATTGCGTGGTCCTTAAAGAATGAAAGTGTTCAGTGCCTTCTGCTCGGTGCATCCAATATAGATCAATTGTACGAGAGTCTCCAAAGCTTACAGGTAATAAAGCTGTTCGAAAGATTGTCTTTCGAAAGGCTGTTTAAACGCACAATTTAAACGACATGATGTAAGATTAATGTCGAAATAATACTCTTCTTATCATCGTCAGATATCACGTAACACCTTAAAGTCGTGTATAAATTGCGCCGCTTGTCGGTGTTTCAACTGATTTCTCATTGCTTTGTAGACAAGAATTTAATGCTTAATTAATCGCACGTTTTCTTTATCAAAGTCTAGTCTAGTCTAATAAGAACAAAGCTGTCTATATTTGAAATTAATTAAATCAATAATCATTAATTTCCCTTATTTAGAACTGCAATTAAACCGTAATTAGGGATATTGTTAAGGATATCGTACATAATAATTTTCGACATGAAACTAATTAAGGATCGAAAGTGCAGATTAAGAAAAAAGAAAAAAAAAGTAGCGGCGAATATGTGATTTTTTTCAGCTTATCCCAAAATTGAACGCTAGTATAATGAGCGAACTCGAGAGGATTCTTGACAACAAACCGTCCCGACCGCCGATGATATCCACCCTGGCGCTTAGATGACAATCGATGTGCCCCCACGGCAGCGGTGGGGGCTCCGTCGAGGATGCGGGTAGCCCGAAGAGCGAGGGCGGCAACAGTCAGGATCAGGAGCAGACCAAGGAGGTGAATAACAAGATGCCGTTCTGCGAGATACAGTGAGATGCGCGGACGGCAATCTCGCTGCCCTAGGTATTGTCAAAGCCCGCAAGGACCGACAATGGACGAATATGATCCATCCACGCGTCTCTCGTCCAAATCCACGCTTTCACCCCTTCGGTCGCGGCGTAGATCGAGATTGTACATACGACACACACGAGTCGATGACAATACTTACTTAATTACGAGAACAACATCCGGGAACTTACCGCGACACGGGGAGACACACCAGTCGGGTTACTTCTTCACGCACGATATTTATATCTGCTCTCTCGCGTACGTCATTTCGTGGACTATATGTAGATATGTAGATGAGGATATATAGACGCGATGTCGCGCACGCGGGATCTTCCCCCCGTCTTATAACGGAATCGCATGTCGCGCTTTTTGAAAGCATTTTCAGAGAAATGGGTAGGCTTATTCCACATAAGTCTCTCTGTAAGTCTCTCTCTCTCTCTCTTTCTCTCTCTTTCTCTTTCTCTCTCTTCCTCGGCCGAAGGATTTATCGTCGAGGTTTCCATTCGCGATTCCAAGTGTTCATTATTCTTAGCGTTAATGATCCCGTTTGCTATTCATCGTAGTGAATGACCAGGAATTTGGGGTGTCTCCACGAGTGTTCAGCGAAATAGATTCGTTCTGCCACTCACTGGTCGAATAAAGGCGATTTGCGAGCGATATAGCACGTCGATTATCATCTAAAAATTACGTTATAGATTGTAAGAATTTATCAAGAATGAATACTATCAGTAACGCTGGGCGTTCTAAATACTCTAGCCAGTATTTTCATCTCTAATACGTCGCACATTACTTTGTTAATCCGGCGATCCAATATATATTTCTTTCGTTAAAACTGTCGCGCTTCATTTTCCGCCAATTTCTTTCTTTTTATTTATTTATCTATTTTTATTTTCTAATTATCTCGTATTTTTGGGAGACGCGAAATAAGCAGTGCGCAAATTTTTCATAAAACAGAAAATATATAGTATTACTACGAACTTATCCCTCGTATAAAAAATACTTGAGAAATTGAGTTCTTTTTTTCGCGGATGAATGGAAAGACAGAAAGTAAGTTGAGACAAAAAAGAAGGAAAATCGGCGATATAATGAAAAAAATAAATATAAATAAATCAATAATTAAAATGAGCGAAAAATTGACCGGTAGAAAAACGAATTTTTTTTATTCAAAATCTCTAGTCCTTTAATTCCATTCACCCATCAGGCTTGGATGTAATAAATTTCTTAACGGTTACATTTTACATTTATAATATTTTCGCACAAATGTTTCCTAAAATGTGCACGTTTGCCATGCACTAATTAATTCGCAAACTCAGTTAAACTGATGTAAACTAACACGATAGACTTACAAGGAATCTTTGAAAAGCCGGACACATAGTATGTGCCCAAAAGATCTATAGATATCAATAGATATCGTTTCTATAAAAGAGAGACGTTTATTTGTTTATCGCCCATACAAGAACTGCACAAAAAAATACAGCACTCTCAAGAAGGATCATTTATCTTGAGGAGAGACTTGCGAGATTCATGTAGTGATCTCTACAACAACATCTATATGCAAAATATTGAGAATGCTTCTGAGAAACGTATCTTTTTCTTGATTTATCTCGCGATTTCTTTAAACCAAAATGTGACATAAAGGGTCATGATGAGCATCTTTATTATAATAAGCGCCGTTTTTTCAGTCCATTCAAACATTGCTCAAATATAACAGATTGTGAGAGAATTTCCCGCTAAAGACGTATGTCTCATATTTAAAATATATATAAAAAAATATCGCGCATTATATACACATTCTTCGAATTAAAATCTGCAGTCGATTTTTTAATCAAATTTCGATGAAATCCATTCTTCAAAATTATGCGTATGCTGATATCTTACAAAGTATAGATACATATACATATAAGCAGGTACACGCGAGAGACATAAAAATATTACATATAATCTTCTTCGAACCAAAACACACTGACGTGCGTTCGTTTTATATGATTATTTCTTTTGAACTTTTCTCACAAATGTGCGATATACGCATTATCATACTTTACATCCGCGCGCGTGATGTAAGTCAAACTCATTTTTACGTGTATGTATGAATGCATGTGTGTGCACGCGCGGGGATTTTCTTCGCACTTTGTATAAATACCATTGACATTCCACTTAATCTTGTCAAGCCAATTATCGATGATAAATGCGAGAAAGCCTCTTGGAAATGATGTGGCATGCGCTCAGAGAGAAGGGGGAATAATAATGGAAGCTGCCAGTACGCTTTTATCGCGCGCAATATGATCTCTTCGATTCAGAACTTTTATCCGAAACGTTATATATATATATATAAATACAGCGAGAAATGATCTAGCGTAAATATTTGGAAATGATAGAGGGGAAATATCGCGAGCGAATATAATAGTACACTCGCGTCATGTATTGCAAATCGAAATAAAACGATCTCACCCAGAGGGATTATAATTGTCATCGAGAGATTCGTGGATCATTCGTTTTTTTTTTTTTTTTTTTTTTGTACATTTCCGAATATTTGCGACGTAAAAATGCCAACGGCGCGATCTACTCTTGTTACCGACGATCGAGAGAATTATCGATGGAAGCTGTTAGAGAGATAAAGAAACGTGATATTGACTGAAGTTCAAGTTAACTTCAGCGCTGAAAATAGCGAGAGATTGATGAGAGATCGTCTACCGGTGTCGCTCCGGCAAAAATAAAATAGCGACACGGCAAACAAGTGAAATTGACAATGCTTTATTTAGTCATGAGTATAATTTTATAATATGCCATCAGTTCTTTGCGCGTGACGAGCTTCTGCTTTACAATTGCTATTAGATAATTAATTCATCCTAACAAATGCTTCAGAAGAGGAAGGGATATATTTCCGGAGAACAGTCTTAATTTGTCATTTTACCACGCTATGTTTCGTTGTCCCATGCTATATTATCTCGCTTATAATATTATATTAGTATCTTAGATCGAGTCAGATCGAATAAATTTATTCTTAAAATCAAATTAGACAAAGAGGTTTCCTATAATATAATTATTTGAAAGATATATATATGCTTAATTGTTTATCATATTTCAATACATAACAAATCTATGTTTTAATGTTTGTGCAGTTTTTATACTTTAGGTTTTTTTGTATGTACCTTAATAAAGATGAATATATTACTGCAATAGAGATGTCACAGTATCAATATTATAAATTTTGAACACGTTAAAAGCAGACTGCACGATAATCCATATAAGATATTTTAAAGTCAAGGCGATCCCGCAAAGACCAGTTTTCACCATATATATAGCTTTTAGCAATTATATTAATATTAATAATTTTTATTTAATTTTTACATATTGTCCATAAAGGACAAGCGTTATATGTCAACGATCGACCATAATTAATATAAAAAAGATATATCTATAATATATAAAGTTTTTAATAATTTTTTTCCTAAAATATCGATTTTTACATACTCTCTCTCTCTCTCTCTCTCTCTTAACTTTTTTTCTAAAATATATGATTTATTCCAAAATAAGAGAATTACTTAAAAGTAAGAGAGACGCAACGTCACCGCGGCCTATCGCGTACACCTGCCTTTACCGCCTACTTACTTATCGCCTGTTTACTCTTGTAAATAGGTACATAGATCTCGCTGACATATAAGCAAACCCATCGTATCTTTATGCGAGGTACGGCAAGGTACGGCAAGGTCGCAAAGCCATAATAGAAAGCAATATCCGAGAGTCCAACAAAATAAGAAATATTTCTGACACGCAGAGTCCTTTCCTAATCGAATAAAAAAAGAACTAACGAACGTCGTCATGATATTTTATTGTCCGATCGTTTCCACGATTTTAAGAGCACGAAGAGCGCTTGATTCAGTCTCGTAACACATGGGCAACAGCAATGGGAGAAGACGAATCGTCGTCTGTTTTGAAAGTGATGCCCATCGCTAAGGGGATATCCTAACGATCATTGGGCATATCCGCGTACGGTCACTGATGACATCCTGGATGATTAAAGGGGACCAATGGTACGATGGGCATCTTGCTATCATTGCAGATCCCGGGGGATCATTGCTGTAATAATTGGCATGTACCTAGTGTCACTGAATATGTCATTACTGATGGTTTGGCACATTTGTCAATCATGTAATGAAATATTTTTAATGAAGAGAGAAAGATTTATATTACAGGGAGAAAGTAGAGATAAAAAATGTGGTACGAGATCGTATCTGGATGAAATTGTGAGTTTATATACACTGATCATTGCGAATCGCATCACATATAATACACGCATACAAAGCACATAGTAATTTATATGTAAAATGGATATATAAAAAGAGGATTAAACTATTTCTCAAACAGGTTTACGGTACATTGCGGTATAAAAAAAGAAATCAGTGCGCTTATACTTGGATGTGACATCGATCGCTTCGTGCTCGTAGAATGCGGAAAAAGAATCGACGTCAGAGAGAAATGTCATGCCGTCCGCTTGTAAATATATAATATAGCCAATTTATACTATAATATATCAAGTTTGAGATGGGCACAGTAATTTTATGATATCGGGATCTACATCTTGTTTGCAATTTTTAGAACGGTATTCCTCTTCGAAGTTACGTATTTTTTGGCAAAAGTTTCTTTACGAAATAATAAAATAAATTATAACCAGATCTCCGTCTATAAATGCGCGTATAACTTTGAACAATGCAAAAATATAAACGGATCGCTGGATCGATTGGCCCATCTCAAAAATAGATACTTCAACAACACTTTTGCGTCTTCATGATTTACAGCATTATATAACACATCTAGTATATAAATTATATATATATA